ACACACACACACACACACACACATATATGATTCTCTGTAAATGAATCCTGTATTCTAAAAAGAAATGTGATCGTGAATATATATGATGCTAGGAGAACAGTGGTAATCATATAAATTGTGGCTTGAAGAGGTAATGTAGGCTAAAAAGGTTATGGAGTTATCCATAGATAAACTCTAGAAAGTGTATACAGAGTTTTGTTGGTGAGTGCATTTTGGGAGGAAAGAGTCTTCAGCTTTCATCGCATTCCTAAATGGACCTTTGATCTCAAAATGGGCAAGAAAGACTGATTTAGAAAACTCCATGGAATGTAGATTCATATGGGTGATTGAGGGGCATTTAGAGCGATTGATGGTGTATCCTGGTACTGTGAGTCCACAGAGGGAGCTGTTCTGGTTTTCTCAGGAAGCACTCCAGGGACTGCAGTGGCGGCATGGGGCTGGTTTGACCACTGGTTGATCTTGCATGTCATCCTGGATGTTTCCTCTCAAATTAGCCACATCAGTGGTGAAGGACTCCCTTTCACACAAGGATTTATACCTTTCTACTGTGCATCTCATGCTTCCCTTGACTTTATTTTTCAGATGGGAACAGCGAGAGTTGCCCAACGGCCGTGTCTATTATGTTGACCACAATACCAAGACCACCACCTGGGAACGTCCTCTTCCTCCAGGGTAAGGCCTGGGCCCGACAAGCCCTGAGACTCTAGAGCTGGCACCAAGAGTCACCCAGTGGCTTCTCCACCACTAACTGCTGTAGCCTCCTCTTTATTTTCCCCACTTTCTTCTACATTCTCTCTTTTTTTCCCTCCTTCCACGGTCTTCCCCTTCTATATTCTTTCCCTTCTCCTCTCATGCATTATATTGGCCATGACCGATAGCCCTGGGCTTTAGTAAGTGGTATTCAGAGCTACTGTGGCTGTTGGATCCTGGAGGAAGGAGGGCTGAGGAGGCCTCCTGGGCCATTGCAGTCTCCATGCCCTCAGTCATTTCACCTATAGAAATATCCTATTAGGGTCAGGTTTTCAATTTGTTTCTGCAGAGGTAGCAAAGTTCAGGGTTCCTTGATTGCTTTTCCTACTCACTTACCTTAATTCTGACCTTCTTCCAACATACTGGGATTTTTAGAGCCTCTCTGAGAAAATTGGGCATGGGGAGGCCAAGCTAGAAAGAGCAGTGGTGCACCTCACAGCTCCCTGTGCCCAGCCAGCCCCTGGAGACAGTGTGCTTCTTGTTCAGCTGGGCTTTGTGAGAACGGGGCTTAAGTTCTCTAAAACCAGAGGATGAGTGAGGCTTCCAAGTGAGAGAAGACTATCCAAGTTCAAGGAGAAGAGGTTTGGTTCCCTCTCTGCCAGGGACAGAAAGTTCTTTCCACATGCGTCTCCTGGTCCTGAGACCTTTCACAAGGGAATGTATTCTGCACTCGGGAAAGCATCACCTCCCAGTAAAGCAGCCATGAAGGGCTCCTGCATAAAACATGAACACTTCTCCCTCGTCAGCTTGTGAGGGAGAGGGTGTCAGAGGTGCAGAGCCCCCATGTGTCTTGTTTGGTTCAGCTGTCAGGCGTCGGCCAGGTAAATACCACTCGCCTTCTGGTCCTACAAATTTCCATGGACTAGCAGCTCTCAGTTTGTGTTCCGGTAGAATGCTTATATTTTCCTAACCCTTCTGGAAATGAAATTCATAATCCGTCATCCTTAGTCTTCATAGAGAGTTAGAAACATCGATCAGCTGCCTCCTGCACATGCCCCACTGGGGATGTGCCCGCAACCAAGGCACATGCCCCTGACTGGAACCGAACCTGGGACCCCTGCATCCGCAGGCCGACGCTCTATCCACTGAGCCAAACCGGTTAGGGCTTGGTGTAATATATTTTTAATGATTTCAGAGAGGAAGGGAGAGGGAGAGAGATAGACACATCAATGTTGAGAGAGAGTTATTGATTGGCTGCCTCCTGCATGCCTCCTGCTGGGGATGGAGCTCTCAACTCAGGCATGTGCCCTTGACTGGAATCGAACCCAGAACCCTTCAGTCCGCAGGCCGACTCTCTTTCCACGGAGCCAAACCAGCTAGGGCTGTTTTCTACTTTGACTTTAAGTCCAGTGAAGTTACTGAAGTGAAACGTTGACTTCTTTGGAAAAAAATTAAACATTTTATTATGGAAATTATATTATTATGGAAATTTTCAAATATACACAAAGCAGAGAGAATCCCTACATATTCAACACTTAGCTTCAATAATTATCAACTGATAGCCAATCTTGCTTCATCTATACCAGGGGTTGGCAAACTGTGGGCCTGTGACAAAATCTAGCCCTCCATTTGTTTTTGCAAACAGAGTTTTATTGGAACACAGCCACACTCATTTGTATACTTACCACCTATGGCTGCTTTTGTGCTCAACAGCAGGGTTGAGTAATTGTGACAGAGACTGTATAGCTCGCAAAGCCTAAGATATAGTATTTACTTTGTATAGAAAGTACTTGCCATCTCCTTACCCATCTGTAATCCTTACCCATCCTTCCTCCACCCCATTCAGGATTATTTTGAAGCAAATCCCAGACGTCATATAATTTTATCTATATTTTGTATATGTTTCTAAAAAGAGTTCTCTCATTTAAAATAAAACTACCATATTGTTAACAGTATTTCCTTGCTATCATCAGTCAGTAGTCAAATTTCTCCAACTGTCACAGATTAATCATTGCCTTTTATCAGGATGCGTTGCACGCTTGTTCTTTGTGTATTTAGCAGCACATCTGTTGAAAAGCAATGGTAACTCTGTAAGTATGCTGGTAGCCGCCTCTTAACCTCTCTAGTTTATAGTTATATAGGCCTTCACCTGGTGAACTTCTGGATGGAATCTAAATGAAGCTATTTAATGGTATCGTCTAAGGATGGCGGAGGTTTTACTCTTCTTTAAGGATTGAGGTGGGATACTAGATCCAGCTTTCTTATTTTCAGGATAGTTTTAATGTTTTATTGGGAGATGGCTCAGCTCTACACCCCACATAGCCTATTATTTCTTCCTGGGTTTTAGGCCCAGACCTTTGAGTCCCTGGCACTTACTTTCGCTATGTAACAGGGAATCCAGAGAGAACAGAATGCTTAAGCTTTCATTGCTAGTGAATGGGAGAAGTTCCACCCCAGGGAATCATTACCATGGTGAGAGCAATCTCAAAACTACAGATTATCTCAGCAGACCTGGTCACTGAGGAGTGAGACTGAGCCAAAGGATTCACTTTATCACGGCCATCCCTTTCTCTCAGACCCATGGGACACTTGTATGACGATGAGTAATTCTATCCAGCACCTGGTAACCAAGGATGCATGTGATAATTTGCTCTTTAGTCACTCTTTGGCGGTACTCAGCCCAGAGGTGAAGAGGGGTCATCATAGAGCATGGCGCTGGGCAGGCCTCACAGATGGAGGTGGGTCCAGCTTGGTTTTGCAGGAAAGGCTGGAAGTGGACTTAAATAAGAAGAAGGCAATCTGGGTAGGGGGAACAGTGAGTGTAAAAGGTGTGGTTAAGGGATGATGCATGGAACAGTTTTATTGCAGTGGAAGGTTTGCGTAAAACAAAGATGCTCAAAGGATGACCAAGGCTCATAGGTTTGGTGGAGATGGTCCCTGGAACCAAAGAAGGAGAGGTGACTCGGCCTCCAGCCACTGCTCTGTGATTGTGATTCTGCATAAGGTTTCATTGGAAATCAAGGGTGAGATTATGCTGCTTGGGTGTTTGAAATTCACCAGTGCAGGAGACTTCTACTTAAACATGGGGAGTGAATGTGTGTTTATTTCTGTTCCTTCCTGAAAACTCACAAAAATGGCAATAAAGGTATAAACCGTCAATGATAAAGGAATGGAAGAGGAGAAACAGCATATGGGAGATATTAATCAGAATTTAGTTGCTGATAGATAAGTGGCAGAGCTGAGAAAGCTGAAACCCAAGCCTACAGTGTGGGCTATCCAATAGGAAGTCAGCTGATTTGTTCCATGGAGCCCTGGAAAGCCTCAGCTATGGAAGACGTGTGTGTGTGTGTGTGTGTGTGCGCGCGCGCGCGCGCGCACACACACACACATGTTTGCGAGTGCAGGAAAAAGATTCCTAGGTTGTAAAGATCCATCCCAAGATACATCCTATTGGAACTTCAGAATGCCAAGAGAATATCTCAAAAGCTTCCAGAGCAAATAGAGTACCTATCAAAGAGCAGGAATTAAGAATGCCATCCTTCTCAACAACAACTATGGAGTATGATCCTCAAAATTCTGGTGAAAATTATTTCTGTCTAGAAATCAAGTTTCAGCCATTTTTACACTGAAGTGTGAGAGTTGAAATAAAGGCATCTTCAGACAGGCAGAATTTCAGAAATTTAATTTTGCTGCACCCTTTCTCAGAAGCTACTCATGATTTATTCCACCAGATAAGAGGAAACCAAGAAAGAAGCCATGAGATGCAGGCCATAGGAGACTCAATTCGGAGGCCAAAAGAGGTTCCCAAGAGGAAGGTGAGGGAAGATGACTTAGGACAATAATGGAGAGCAGGCCTGGAGGACGACTGCCCACGTTGCACGAAGGGCTCCGGGAGAGATGTGGCTAAGAGTTAATGACCCCGAGAGGCCACCAGCCCTGTCAGAATCGGGGGGTGAATTAGTGATAGGTTCTTTTAAATCAGGCAGCATAAAACAAGGCAGTTCTTAATTCCAGAGGGGGGAAAAGTTGTATAAGTAAGGAAATATGTTTATAGTATTCTACAAAGTCATAGTACAAACTCTGAATATTGCTTTAGTGATTTTTCTATTTGGGAGGATGATGCAAAAGAAGGCTTTGTGTGTGTTGTGGGGGTGGTGGGTGGAATACAATACCTAAATCCTCAAATTTATAGTGGAAAGTCCATAAGTAATGTCTAGATGGCAGGAGGCCAGAAATCATGGAATAAGCTCGTTGTTTGGAAGTGTGTATGTAAGCAGTAGAAGAAGCAGATGTAAGTAGTAGAAGGAGTAGTCAGGAGTTGAACGTAGTTGCTTTTGAGGAGCAGGAGTCAGCAATGGGGAGAGGTAGGACAGGAGACATGGGTTTTTTATGTGTCCCCTATAGTACTTTTTGTGTTTTTAAACCATATATATATATGGTTTCTTTGATAAAAAATAAAATGAGCCTGGCCAGTGTGGCTCAGCGGTTGAGCATCAACCCATGAACCAGGAGGTCACAGTTTGATTCCTGGTCAGGGCACATGCCTGGGTAGTGTGCTCGATCCCCAGTAGGGGGCGTGCAGGAGCCGATCAGTGACTGTCATCATTGACGTTTCTTTCTCTCCCTCTCCCTTCCTCTCTCTGAAATCAATAAAAAATATATTTTAAAAATAAAATGAAAATCACTAGTTGAAAGGATTTATGATAAAGGAGGGTAGTGGGGAGTTAGCTGAAGTTTTGAGCAGGAGCATGACATACGAGGTCAGTCTGGTATGGTTATCTGGATGGCAGTTTATAGGCTGGGTTGGAGTGGGGAGATCAGTTCAGGGATGGTTGGATACAGAAATGCAAGTCAAGGGTAGAGAGACAACAAAATAAAAAGCTCTGGGGCTGAGTGCTTTATTGACAGTCAGCAGAGAAGGAAGAGTCAGGGAAGATGGTGTGGTTTTACTCTGGGAGGACTGACCTGAAGAAGACAGGGAAAGACCTGTTTTCACCAAGTTCCTTTTTCTCAGGTTTCGGGAGATAGCCTTGGTGTTTAGTTGAATCCAAAGTGACATCAGGTGGTGAAGGCAGGACAGTATAGTGCAGTGGTTCTCAACCTTCCTAATGCCTCGACCCTTTAATACAGTTCCTCATGTTGTGGTGACCCCCAACCATAAAATTATTTTCATTGCTACTTCATAACTGTAATTTTGCTACTGTTATGAATCATAATGTAAATACTGATATGCAGGATGTATTTTCATTGTTACAAATTGAACATAATTTAAGCATAGTGATTAATCACAAAAACAATATGTAATTATATATGTGTTTTCCGATGGTCTTAGGCGACCCCTGTGAAAGGGTCGTTCGACCCCCAAAGGGGTCGCGACCCACAGGTTGAGAACCGTTGGTATAGTGGGTGCAAGCTAGACAGAATCTGGGAACTAGCCATGAGGCTGGGAGCTGCTTGGGGGTAGCCATATCTAGGGAGGATTTGAGTTTAAAACAATCATTGAAGAGATTGCACCAAAAGTCATCTCAGTGTAGCCCTGAATGTTGGGAAGATACCAACCTGAAGCATGATAGTCATTTGAGTAAGATAAGAATTCAGAGAGGATGAAATGTGAAGGTAATCAGGGAACAAAGTCCAACAGTTTAGAATCATGCAACACAATCTATATTGGGTTCTCTTTGCAGTGGACTAGTCCTATTTTCTTCAGTGATGTCTCTTAAGCTTTTTTTTTTTAAAATATATTTTATTGATCTTAGAGAGGAAGGGAGAGGGAGAGAGAGAAACATCAATGATGAGAGAGAATCATTGATCGGCTGCCTCCTGCATGCCCCCCACCAGGGACTGAGCCCGCAGCCCAGGCATGTGCCCTTGGCCGGAATCAAACCTGGGACCCTTCAGTCCACAGGCCAACGCTCTACCCATTGAGCCAAACCAGCTAGGGCATGTCTCTTAGCTTTTAAATTTTTTTTAATATTTCTTATCTTTAACCACTTTCCTTTCCACCCCTCCTTCATACTTAGAATGAAAAATTTCAAGCATACATCAAATTTGAGAGAATAATACAGTGAGTCTCTTGTAACCCTCACCTGGTTCTGACAATTAATAACATTTTATTTCATCTGACCTCTTAGGAGAGGGGCCAATGAATTTTAAAGCAAATCCCAGACATCATATCTTGTGATCCATGAACATATCACATATGTCTCTAACAGATGGGGTGTTTTCTAAAATAACCAAAATACCATTATCCCACCCAACAAAATTAACACTATTTCCTTCTTTCATGTCATACCCAGTTTGCATGTCATTTTTTCTAGTTGTCTTGAAAGTGTTTTTATACTTGATTTGTTTGAATCAGATCCAGATTTAAGATCAAAACATTGCTTTTGGCTGATAGGTCTCATAAGTCTCTTTTAACCTATAAGTTCTCCTACCCTCTTTTTTTTTTTTTTCCCAGACCATTTATTTGTTGAAGATCATGGGCATCTGTCTTGTATAGTTTCTCATATTCTGGATGTGGCTAATTGTGACCTTCTGGTGTTGTGTAACATGCTTCTGTGTCCCTTATCTTTCCTGTAAACTGGTAGTTAGATATGGAGGCTTGATTATGTTCAAATTCACCTTTAAAACTGAAGTGTAATTTACATACAATAAGATATACAGATCTCAGATGTGCTGTTTGCAGAGTTTTGACAAATGCATGCACTTGTGTAGCCAACACCCCACCAAAATATAAAACATTTCCATCACCCCATGCAGATATGTCCCTCTCTTACTTTCTTTTGCTCACCTTGCCCTTGTGTATGTGGAAATGCAATGGAACCTGTCAAGCATGGCTGAGGTTTTTACCATCTAGTCTAGCTCTGCCTTGTCCATGGGAGTTTTAGGACCAACTTTGGAAAGGTTGTTTACTCACCAAAGATAATGTGGAGAGTCTTGCTGCCATTTGCACCAACCTTCCCACTGGCACCTTATATCAGGGTAATTTCAGAAGCCAATAAAAAAAAATGTGGGATCCAAATAGGCTTCAATAATGAAGAGAGTTTATTGGCTCATATAACAAAAGTCTAGATGTAGGTCCTGGTTTCAAGGGAAGCCTGAACTAGTAGCTCAGCAATATCACCAAAGAGCTGGATTTCCCCCCACTTTTCTGCTCTGCCATCCACTGGGTCACCTTCACGTTGTTTGGGTTCAAGATGGCAGCCAATAGCTCCCAGACTACATGCTTTCTCCGTCATATCCTGCAAGGAAGAGAGACTGCTTTTTCCAGAATTCCTAGCAAAACTATCAAGATTCACCGATTGACCAGCATTTGTCCACTTTTGGTTTAGTCAATGGTTCAACTCCCGGGTTGGGAGTAGAGTCATCGACCCTGTAAATGGGAATCAGGAGCTAGTGGTAAGGAGGGATTGGTTGCTAAGGATGCAACCACAAATTTTCTCTGTAATCATCTAAGCCTCAGAAGCTCTGTGATTGGGGCCTGCCTGGCGGTGCTTCCCCGCAAGCAGCCAAGCTCCTGTGCCAGACACCACCCTTCACCCTCCCTTGGTCCTTTCTTGGCAACCATCTGAGATTTTGCTAGGATTTGAAGGTAGGGGTGGGGTGGGCACTGTATTCATGCTGAGCTTCTTGTTTCCAGCTGGGAGAAACGCACAGACCCCCGAGGCAGATTTTACTATGTGGATCACAACACTCGGACCACCACCTGGCAGCGCCCCACAGCCGAGTATGTGCGCAACTATGAGCAGTGGCAGTCACAGCGGAATCAGCTCCAGGGCGCCATGCAGCACTTCAGCCAAAGATTCCTCTACCAGGTGAGAGGGCAGAAATTGCAGCTTCGCCTAGTCTCCACTGACCTGTTGGGAGAGCAGGGAAAATGTCAGTGCCCTGACCCTGGGATTTTACTCATCACAGTGAAATTCCTCAAACTCCAGTGTTTCTAACTTAATAACTCAATGCTCAGCCTCTGTGTCCAAGGCAGCGGTTCGCAACCTGTGGGTCGCGACCCCTGAAAATACACCCTGCATATCAGATATGTACATTAAGAATCATAACAGTAGCAAAATTACAGTTATGAAGTAGCAACGAAAATAATTTTATGGTTGGGGGTCACCACAACATGAGGAACTGTATTAAAGGGTCACGGCATTAGGAAAGTTGAGAACCACTGGACTCAATGTGTCTGAAGCTGAATTCACCATTTCTTTCAACATTGGATTTCTCTTCTGGCCCTCCCATCCAAGTCCATTTACCCGGACTTAGAGCCTGGTCAGCGGTGACTTCTCCTATATCTCACCCTTTCAAATCAAAGCAACCACCCAGATCCTTCTCTTCCCATTGCTACTATGTTTCTTTTGATCTTTATTATCGGACAGATACTAAAGGATGGAAGGGCCTTTAAAGTTCATCTAGATCAGGGGTTGGCAAGCTATGGCCTGTGGGCCAGAATGGCCCTCACCTGATTTTGTAAATAAAGTTTTATTGACACATAAGCACACCCTGTACTTGGGGTATTGATTGTGGCTGCTTTTAAGCTGTAATAGCAGAGTTAAGTAGTCACAACAGGGAGTATGTAGCCCATACAGCCTAAGATATTTACTGTCTGACCCTTTACAGAAAAAGTTTATTGACCCCCTAGTCTAGATCAACCTCCTGCTATCTAATTCCGGATTTTCCTCTGCCTCTTCCAACTGAATGGTTAGAGCAGCTTCTGAATTGTTCTCTCTGCTGCCATTCTCTCTCCTTTAATTCATACTGCCTGTTCCCACCAGAGTATCACTGTCATTTCATCACTGTTAAAAAAAAATCACTGTGGAGGGTTTAAGGAAGGGAGGAGAGTGTTGCTCTACATTTATTACTGTCATTTTTTATCACTGGCTCAAAAAATTTTGTGGTCATTACCTACAGAATAGCATTTAAATGTTCTACTCCAGAATTCAGAGTGGTCCCAAATGAACTGTCTATGGTTTCCCGTACTGTGAACCCCCTTAGCCCCACCTTCCTGAGTCTCCACTCCATTAGAGCTTCCACCAGTAACATGGTGGCTGGAGGGAGCCCAGACACACGGCCTTTTGGGGAGGAAGGGGTAGGATTCCCAAGTTGGAACTCTGCATTTTCTCAGAGCACCTTGAACATGGAGCTTGGGATCTGTGTAGAACCCTCATAGGACGTGGTGGATTGGAGGTTGGAAACTTTGTGAGCTGGTCCACAACATTTAATCCCTGTCACAAGAAAGAGCAGCTGAAATGCCCTGGTGGTCTACCAGGTGCAGCACTGCCTGAGTCCTTATGCCAGGCCTCCCACTCTGTAACCCCTTTCAATCATGCCTGGCATCCGGTTCTGGCATGTTTCAAAATGGGATGGGATCTGGTCATCCTCTGCGTTTCAGAAATTGTTCTTCATGAGCTGGGCCCCAAAGACCTTCCCTGCCATTTGCTTGGGTGGTCATTTGACTTCAAGACAAGGACACATTTTAGGAGTCTCACATGGTTCTGTCTTCCTGCTTATCCAACTTCTCAAGTTAAAAAAGAATCCATTAAAGGGATCTTTTTTCTTCTCTAACAAGTACCAAGTAGGTCCTGTAGGTTGACCAAGATGCTAGGTATGTGAAAGGGAAGATCCCGTAGTTCACGTCTGCTTGGTCTTTTGTTCCGCTTACCCGCCTCTCATTTTAGCAGCATCATTCTGGGCCTTCAGAGGAAGAACTTTGACTTGGAGGGTCTCCTAGAAGTAAAAATTAAGCACTAAATTTTTTTTTTCCTTTTTAAGTACTCAAATACAGTTTTTTCAGCTTGGTTGGGGATTTAGGAGGGCTCTGGATGGTGATGATGGTTCCCTTTTCTCCCTGAAACAAGACCCATATTTTTTGGGTCAGCTTTCAATGTCTCTCTGTTGATTTCCCTCCCCCTTGGGTTTGGTTTGCCCCTCTTGTTTGCTGTGGTGCCATGTCCTGGTTACAAGTAAGAAGAGTCGCTTTCATGGAGTTATTTTGGGGTTTGGCCTTGGCCCAGGATTTGACGTGGTAGACTTAAGAGCTGATACTATACCAGCGGCCTCCCCTCCTCCTCTTTCTCCTGCAGGGCTGAAAGTGAGACCTGTTCTTTGCTGCCCTGCAGAGCACAAAATACAGTTCAAGATGGAAATCAAGGGAACCCCAGATTGCAGACTCCCGCAGTTCCTTCCTGCCATTTGCCTCAACACACATCTTTTTTGGTCTCTGTTGTTCCCTTATTTCTGACATGTTTTCCTGTCCTAACGGCCTGGTGCCTTTGTTGCTCATGATCATCATGCACATACTTGTGTTCGATGTGCACTTTCACTTTGCCCTCTGTTTTGGGTTCCCACTGCAGTCCACTGAGGATGCCCGGCCCGATCGTGCGCATTGTGTATTGTGACAGGACCCGTCTCACATCTACTACTATTTCTGCGACACCTCTTCCTTTGCGCCCCCTTTGGTCCTCTCCTAATAATCTAGTGTCGGCAGGACAGAAGCAAATCATTCTGTGGCTCCTAATATGAGGATGCCAAACTGCATTATCCAGAAACAGACAACCTGGTTCTCACTGTGCAGAGGGCCCCGTGGCTTGGGTTCTCAAGCACCTGAGTTTTGTTCTGCACCCACTGGGTGTAACCTTTACAAAAAAAGGAGCCTGCCTTCCACACTGTAACCTTTATGCCCTTCCCAGAGCCTTTCTTGCCCTTGGTTTTATTTGCTAGACATTCTTTATTTCTGAGTTTGTATCTTAAAATATTACCGGAACTTGGTGCTTATTCCCCGAGAGACTTGAACTCACATGAGCTGTCTGGCTCATGGCCTGTACCTCGGATCTCCCAACCAGCGGACGCTTCCCAGGAAAATTGTTCAACAGCGTTCCTTTCTGTTCCTAGTGATAAAGGAAACTGTCTTGTCTCTTCGAGTCCTAGGATCTCTCCTCTGGCTATAATTCCTCCCAGCCCCTTTCTCTGTGCTTGTCTGCTGTGAGCCACCCACCTGCGATCGTGCATTCTGGGAAGGGTGGTGGAAGAGAAGGGCAGGTGGTCGGCTCCCAGTGACTCCATTTCACGTGTTCCTGTTTATCAGTTTCTGGTCTCTGTCTCCCTCCCTCCTGCTTCCTCTTCTCTCTTCTGACAGGCGTTGGAGGTGAGAGTAGGAGGATGCTGAAGACATTTTTAAAAAACCACTTTAACAAAAGAGAGCCACCATTGTGTGAAGTTTGTGACATTAAAAAGTCAAGGATTAAGAAAAGGGCTGATAATTTCTTTTTATTCTCCTCCCTGTGTGTTGTATGCTAGTCAGTGTTCATTTCGATGAATAATAGAAACCTGCTTGGTTAAGCTTAAGCAAAAAAAAATTTATCAAGTGGGAATTAACAAAACGATGAAGAACCAAACTCTGGCAGAAAACCAGGGGTAGGCAGGGCAGAGGGATGATTTGCCTAGGACATCGCTCATCTGTCTGCGGTCAAACACTCGATGCTTCAATGGGCTGTGGTCTCTACTGAAGCAGTGAGGCATCTCCAACAGCCCCCATGCTTTCTTTCCGGTCCCTGCAAATTTGGGTGGGAGCACCTGATTGGCTGTTCTTAAGTCATGTGCCTACACTCTAGATCAGCCGTGGGCAAACTACGGCCCGCAGGCCGGATCTGGCCTGTTTGAAATGAATAAAACTAAAAAAAAAAAAAAAAAAAAAGACTGTACCCTTTTATGTAATGATGTTTACTTTGAATTTATATTAGTTCACACAAACACTCCATCCATGCTTTTGTTCCGGCCCTCCGGTCCAGTTTAAGAACCCATTGTGGCCCTCGAGTCAAAAAGTTTGCCCACCCCTGCTCTAGATGCTGTGTTATTTGCTAGCTGATAAATATTTTATATATTTTTTTTTAATTGATTTTTTTACGAGAGGACGGGAGAGAGATAGAGAGTTAGAAACATAGATGAGAGAGACATCGGTCAGCTGCCTCCTGCATGCCCCCTACTGGAGATGTGCCTGCAACCAAGGTACATGCCCTTGACCGGAATCGAACCTGGGACCCTTCAGTCCGCAGGCCGATGCACTATCCACTGAGCCAAACCGGTTAGGGCGATGATAAATATTTTTTGTTTGTAGTTCAATGCAGGTCACAGAGACTGTCAGTAAAGACATTTGGTCTGTTGATTTATACAGTTAAGCAAAAGATGCCTGTAAGTCCACTGAAACCCATTTGGTACCCATTGGAGCCCCTCATTGCTTGTGGATTGTCCACCCATTCCAAGAAAAGACCTGAAGCTGCAAATATTTTGCACCAAATGCTTCTTTTAAATTCTTAAAATGACCTTTGCTGTAGTTCTTTCCTTCTTCAAGGTCATTGCCGCAGCTCAGTACTTAACCCACGACATTGTATTTGGCTTCATTATCTGAAATGCATGGGTGTTTCAAACAAACGTGGAGGAACTTGAGATGCTGCACCCTACCCCCAGCAAAATGACCACTGTGAATTTGAGAGATCTTTTTCAGTAACCATCAGACCAACCTGCATTGTGGTGGAGATACTGCGCACGTCCTCCACGGCACACTGATGGTAACGTGCCCTACATGGAGGACAGCCCGCCTCCCACACCTTGGTGCAGTTTCATTCTGCTGGGTTGGAGGCCCGCTGCTGAAAGAGGGCTCTGTCCCATCAAGGAACCTATGGTTTCCAGACTTAAACGTCTTTGTTGGAACTCACTTTGGAAGAGTTGCTTGTGCTGCCACCTTGGAAAGAAAGTTTCTCTGTCCTTTCAGCTGGGGGTGGAGGGTGGCCGTGAAAGGGGGTTCGTTGGCAGTTGAGCTCCACCAATGTTTTCTCAAGCCGAGACTGAGCTCCATTCATCCTCATGCCTGTGTGTGGCTCCGGAGGGGCCAGCCAGGCAGCTCCCAGTCTGCACTGAGAACTTGATCCCCTAATGTAATGATTAAATTTTAGTAAGTGAAATAAAAATGTTTCAGAAAAAAAGAGAGAGAGAGGGAGGAAGAAAGAAAGCGCAGAACAATACTTGTTTTATTTAACTATGAAGAGTTTCTGACAGCACCCCCTTCCCCGCAGGATATGAGAACTCTTGGTCCACGGCAGCCCCGCCCCAGGGACCTTGCAGCAGAATTTGGCTGGGGGTGGGGGGCTCTAATGTAAACAGCGACCCTGAAGTCCTGGAGTCAGCTCCCCCTTCTTTCTCCTGTCTCCCCTTCTCTCTTGCCACCTCGCCCCCAGCCCCACCTCCCCAGACAGGCACACACAGAACACTGTGCAACTTCAGGTTCAGGCCGGAGGAGAATAAAGGTGCTTTGTGAAGGGAAGCAAAACATTCCTGGGGGAGGTGAGGGGCCTGGGGCATGAATGTGCCCTCAGTCTGGGCCGATGCTGCACACCCTGCTCCCTCTTCCAGCGCACCCAGGAGGGAGGTGCAGGGAGGAGGGCCCAGCCCCCAGCCAGGAAGCTCTGGGCGTGGGCAGGGCTTGTGGGAATGATTTCATTGGAAAGGCCTGCGATATTTTTTCCCCTCCCGTGTGTGGTTCTTGGAGAAAGTTGGAGGTGGTGGTGATTTCAGTTGCCTTGGCCGCGGAGAGCAGGAGCTGAGCAGAGGCACTGGGCCGGCTGAGCTGGCCAGCAGCCCGGCTCTGGGCCCTTCGGCCATGCCTGGGGCCAGCCCGCTGCCTCCGGGGCCCTGGCCCGCCTTCATCTGCGCACCTCTTCCTCCCCCTCACTCCACCCTCGCCAAAACCTATCTGGGTCCTCAGTGTGCAGGGTTCTTTTTCAGTTTTTCTTTTTTGAAAAAGACTTTTGAGGGGAGCGGATGTCACCTAAAGCCCCACGATCTCCTCCACAAAGAGCCCAAATGTGGAAACGAGTTGTTGGCGTTTTTAGGTTTATCTATCAATTTATTTTTAACCAGCGGCATTTTTTTAACCTCTGTGTTTTGCTGTGTTTCTGTGTTTAGTCTTCGAGTGGTTCAACCGACCATGACCCACTGGGCCCCCTCCCTCCAGGCTGGGGTAAGTACCGAGTCCCATGTCTGTCCCTCAGCCTCCCTTAGCGGGTGCTGCTCCGTGCTCTGTGCTCTCCCTGCGAGTCCTCCTCTCTCCCCTCCCTCGGTTTCCCAGTTCACTTCTTTCCAGCACGCTCTGTGGGGATGCCCAGCCAGAGAAATTGCAGGCCATGGAGCGAGAAGGCTGGGAAAGTAATGGAGTCCCCCTGCCCGTAGCATTCCCCCGCCATAGCGGAAGGAGGGGGACGCTACGAAAGAAGTCCCCCGAGCGGCTGTGGTACTGTTGGGTTTCGGTCCTGACTTTCAAGGTGTCGACCCAACAACCCATCCTGTCACTAAGACATTTTGACATGGCTGATTCCCAGATGCGTTTATTTCAGGCCTGTGGCCATGTGATTGAAAGGAGCTACCTTACCAAACCTTTCTTTGCAGCTGAGATGTTGGAGGACTAAGAGCATCTAGCTCAGCCTCATTTAGGGAGAAATGGGACTCGGGAACATTCGGGGCATGTGCCCAGGCTCAGGGCAGCTGAAGAGATGTGGACCTAACGCTGAGATGCTCCAACCCCTGAGCTAATGGAAGCCACCTTTTGGGGGGGACACAACTGTGAAAGGGGCTGCAGGGAAGCCAGCTGAGCGCTGGGCGGCGACTCTATTGAAGTACACTATTGCTAGTCAACGGCATCAGGCTGGCTTCTCCTTGTCACTGACAGCTGCCTCTTACCTAAGTCTTTGGTGTGATTTGCAGTAACAAGTTAGATGGACATCTATGACTTGAGAGAAATTACAGACGTCATGGCTTTTCTGGGATGGAGTGGTCATGCAAAGAGGGGTCATCAGAGACGGTGAGACTAGGTGCTTTCCGTCCCTCTCTGAGCTGGGTCAGGATTTTTTTTCAGCAGGCAAGAGTTCCTGGGAGCTAAAGAGGACCGTGTAGCAGGAATTGGCCTGTGCTGGGTTTAATTGATTGGTTAGGCCGGCAGAAGACAGTAAATGCGGGTTTGGTGGTGTTTACAGATGGTATTAAGTTGGGCGGGGGCATGCTCCCCAGCGAAGATGGAGAGGCTGACAATGACAGGATGCGCATCTGAGCCTCTTGGTGCAGACACAGCTACTCCCTGGTAGTAATTTACGAGGTTGCATCAACCCCGTGGGACCTGCAGGCTATCATCAGCCCCTTCAGGGTATTACCACAGCATTCCAGAGCACTGGAGGGACCTCCTCGTCCTCCTAGTGGGATAGGTCAGTGAGGGAGGCCTCCGCACAGTTGATTTTCTGCTAGAGAATCCACCTTGCTCCCTGAGCGATGAAAGGTCATTGCCGTCTCAGAGGCTGGCAGCAAGTCAAAGGTGAGGGAGTCCCGCACGGGACCCCTGTCTAGATAGGGGAAAACTCAACAGATTAAACAAGAATCTGTAATGCTGTCTGGCAGCCAGTAGACCCTGTGACCTGGAGCTGGGCACTCAGAGTTGCACCTTTCTCCATAGAGTCAAGTAATTTATTTCTGTACCAGTTTTGCTAAATGATGGTCACCAAGTAAGGGTGGCTGTAAGGACTTGTAAACAGTTCCCAGAAGCCACGTGTGACATATTTGAGATGGGACTCGGAGCCACGCTTGGAGTCGGTGCTGTTTACAAATGATGAGGAAAACACGACAAAACTAAATGGTATGTGACTGAGAAAAAAGAACATCTGGCCGAGGGCCAGGGGCCTTCCTGATCAAATCCTTCGGGCTTCGTGTTGGCTTCTCCAGGGCTGGTGCAGGCATCCCCCCAGGGAGAGCGGAGATTAAACAGAAAGAGCAGCAAAACTAAACGAGAATTGCCTTTAGCATGAGCCTGCTGCCAGGTCTGCTGTGTCCTCCTGCTCTCAGTCCTGCGTCCCTTCCTGCTCCTCCATGACAGACCCCGTGGTCCTTCCTGAGCGTCGGTTCAGGGGTCGGGGCATCTCAGCGTTAGGTCCACCTCCCCTCAGCTGCCCTGATCCCTGGGCACGTGCCCGAATGTTCCCGAGTCCATTTCTCCCTAAATGAGGCTGAGCTAGATGCTCTTGGGACTCTCCCAGCCCCAAACTATGAAATTGTATGCAGCAAAGCAGTTCCGAGGCACCACACGAGGCCCCCCATGCAGGGAGCAGTGCCAGAAGCGAGGGCACAGGCCTCAGACCTACTGGGCAGATCCCGCAGCCTGGCGGTGAGCGCTGACTGAGGCCCCGGCAGAGCAGATGTGGAGGGTCCAGTTGAGAGCAGAAGCTTCTGGCTGGGAGCCCTTCTCTCCTGCAGGTCGCTCTCGGGAAGCCTGTGTTCAGTGGGACAGTCCCACAGCGCTCTGAGGTGGGGGTAGCTCTGTAGCAATTCTGGGCACTTTCTCTTGACTCTTTTTGTGTGTGTGTGTGTTTTATCGATGAATGGATACCAGGTAAGATAGACAGAGACCAAAATCTTGGGTTGGTAATGGGAATGTTGCAGCCTGACACTTGAGGGGAGGGGATGGGGCCCCCCCCAGTTCTGCTTCGATTTTAGTTTCCCTGTTAGGTTCTGGAACTGATTGTGTTTATTTTTTTAATTTTTCCCTGTCATCATAAGTGAGAGAGGGCCATTAGCATCATTTGTTCTCAAGATAGAAACAGATTTGAAGCCTCAGAAAGTTCCTGGGGAAGGTGACCCGTCTTGGGTTCAGAGCCTTGCCCTGAGTTTTGCCTTCCATCCACTCAGAGCTGATAGGGTGTCCCTTTTAACCTTTTCCAGGGCCCGGAATCCCCACTAGAATCAGGTCTGCTCCTGAAGCCCAGATTCCCTCCCTAGAGGACCCCAGAGCCATCCTCCGTGCATAGGCCAAGAGCAAGAGAGTAAGGATTGTCCAGAGGAGAGAGAAAGAATGTCTGAGCTCTCCCAAATGCTGGACGCATGCCCTTAGGTGTGAGCGCTACATGGGCGTTGTAAGGGCCGCAGCCCCTGCATTTATTTGCACATATGCAACATAGAGGTTTTGCTGGGACGTGAGAGTTTTAGAACAAAACTTTGCCTCTGAGGAGAAAAAAGACCAAGGGAGGGTAGGTGGAGTGCTGATCAGAGAGGTGTGAGGGAAATGCAACCCCCACAGGCGCCTGGGTCCCTGCATCTGGTGGGCAGAGCGGTTGCAGGACCAGAGACCAGCTGTCAGGGACTTGGGGGGCGGGGGCATGGGTGAGGGCCTCCACTTTGCACACAGCTGGATGCAATTAGGCCTCTGGTTTCAGCTGGGCTGCTCCCCCTCCGTGTTGCCACACTGCCCCCCGCCCTCCAACCAACCAACCAACCGAAGACAGTGCTTGATCCTGAGCTGGAAATGTGACTGTCCCTCCACCACTCCCCACTAGGGAAAGGTTCTCTTTGTCCTTTTTGCCAGTGACAGATGTGTGTGAGCTGGGCTTTTATTGGTTAAACTTCTCTAACAGGGTGGGAACAGTGGCGGCAAGTCAGACCCCAGCACCTGGAAGGGGGCACCCAGAGGGGGAGAGAACAGGGCTCAAGATGTCCCAATCTGACTGTCCTCCTTTCTTTCTTCTCCCTGGCAGAGAAGAGACAGGACAACGGACGGGTGTATTACGTGAACCATAACACGCGCACCACCCAGTGGGAGGACCCTCGGACCCAGGGGTAAGGGCTCGGGCTGGGAGGGGGCCCCGTGCAGCTCCAGCACTGGCCGATGGCCTTGGACTGCATTTGTCCTCGATGGCCAGTGTTCTGGGGCCTTCAGCCACACACAAGTGCCTGGAGACCCTCGTGATACAGTGTCAGCCGAATGAGAGCCTAAAGGGGCTCCTTAAATCGACTTTCCTGGTAGCTGTGTTGACTGTGCAAGCTGCTGATAACATGATTTCACCCTGTGCTCCCCCCACCCAAGCTGGTCTGGGACTGGGGCAGTTGGTGCCTCAGGATTGCTGGTGGCCACTCAGGCTATGGCCATGGCCATGGCCACTGAGGGCTGGTTCTTGGGCCTTGGGACAGTAAACGACCTCTCTGTTCTGCAAAACTGTCCTCATGACTTGGGTGGGACCAGGTACAGTTCCTCAAGGAAAAGCTTTGCAGAACCTGGGTGAAAGCAGAGAGAAAGGAGTACTTTGGGGACCCCAGCCTCCTAAGCATTGAGGCCCAGAAGGTGAGGCCAGCCCTAACCCCCCTCTTCCTCTTCCCCTGTTGGCAGGATGATCCAGGAGCCAGCTCTGCCCCCAGGGTGGGAGATGAAGTACACCAACGAGGGGGTGCGCTACTTCGTGGACCACAATACCCGTACCACCACCTTTAAGGATCCTCGCCCAGGGTTCGAGTCAGGGTAAGGACTTGCCACAGGCGACAGCAGTATCCATGTTCAGCTGCTCTTACTGCCCTCTAGTGACCAATCTCCATGTCACATCAGCAGGGCTAGGGAAGGAGGGGGCCACCCCAGTTATTCAGAGTCACACCAGTGGTTTCCTCTCTCTCTCAAAGAAAAAATCTGTCGTTATTTCTAGGTTTTTTGTTTGTTTTACTTCTCAGATCTGCCAGAGATTTTAAAGGCAGTCACTTCCTCTCTTTTATGCCTTAACTTACTCGTCTTTAAAATAGCACCAGCTGTCCTTAGGGCTAACAGATACATTGCTAATTTTTGAGAAATCACAGATTCCAGAACTTCTTTGTTCTTCCCAGGGCGAAGCAAGGTTCCCCTGGTGCCTATGACCGAAGTTTCCGGTGGAAGTATCACCAGTTCCGTTTCCTCTGCCATGTGAGTTCTGGTGCTGGGCCGTCCCCTGCAGGGTGGGGTGGTGGACTTGTTTCAGCTCGATTTCCCAGCCCAGCAGCAGTCTGGTCAGCTGGGGGCAGGCCACTGATCTGTCCCCGAGCCGTTGTTTGACATTGTCTCCAGGAAGCCAGCTCCCATTTCTAGGGACCAGGCTCTCCTCTCCCGGCCCAGGGAGACAGGGAAACCTCCTCGTACAGACAGGAGGCCAGACTGAATAATTACCTCCTGAGGCCTGATTCAAGGTTTGTCTTTTCTCCTTTCAGTCAAATGCCCTCCCCAGCCACGTGAAGATCAGCGTTTCCAGGCAGACACTTTTTGAGGATTCTTTCCAACAGGTTAGAAAATAATTGTGGTATCTATCTAAGTCCAGAGGCAGGTGAAAGGCCCCCTCCCAGCACCCCGTCTTCTGTCACGTGGCCTATTAAACCTACACAGTAGAGTATCCAAGGCCTGGGCCTCGGTGAGTGGTGTCTGTCCCCTGCCCACTGCCCCCAGTTGCCATGAAGGGAGAGTGGCAGGGTGGCCATGATGCTCTGTCTCCCCAGATCATGAACATGAAACCCTACGACCTGCGCCGCCGGCTCTACATCATCATGCGTGGCGAGGAGGGCCTGGACTACGGGGGCATTGCCAGGTGAGCTCGGTGCCCCGGGAAGGCTGCGCTGCACCCTACTTCCCCAGGGTACTGGGCCTGTGGCCAGAAAGCTGCCTCCTCCTTGCTCAGATTGGTGGCCAGTGCCCTTCCACTTCTTCAGGAGTGGGCACGGGTATGGCCAGTTCGAATGCTGGAACTGGGTCCCAGGGTTCCCTGCTGGGCTGGGCACTAACCTTTAGTTACTGGGTCATGGGGGCCCCGGATGGAGGGCTCAGGGCAATGGCTCCTTTACCAACCAATCTGTCATTATTGCTGTACTTGAACACCATCTGCTGCACCGGTGGGCAGCAGCTAAATATCGGTGCCATGTGGTCGTCCATTAAAATCACCCCTGGACTTCTCCTACTTTTAAGGGCGCTGGGGCAGGTTAAGTGGGGCATCTTGGTACATACCCGGCATAAATAAGCTGTGTCACAATCCAAAGGGCCTTGACCAGCATTCAGCTGCATGTCACTCACACAGGGTCAGTACAGTTCAAACGGCCGACACAACCCCCAAAAGAGCCCAAAGCATTGTTTCGCCCTCACCATAGCCCACCTACAAAAGTTAGCAGACTCTCTAGCGAAACGTTGCCTTGGACGATGGGGCTGAAGGGCCCCGGCAGAGAGAAGGAGTATCTTAGCCTGTGGTGACTGCTCGGCTCACTCACCTATCTCGGAGTGGGGACCTTTCGCTTGGTGTTGGGTTAACTTGCTGCTGGTCCTCTGTTCGTTGGTGGCTTTGCCCTCTGTGTTGGCCCCCGTGGATCGATGGCTGTCTTTCCCGTGGTGACCGTGGTGACCTCCTCTCCAGGCTCTGCTTGGTGGGCTTCTGGTGTGGCTCCCGCCCTGTGTGTGTCCGTCTCTCTGTGTCCTGCCAGTGGTTTTACCCTATGGTAGGTTACGTCATGCTGTTCTACCACAGGGTAGAACCACGGACAGGATACCGGGGCACCCTCTGCATCGAAGGACTCCTCGTCTGCCTGGCCACAAACAGCCCAGCAGCCAGGGACTGGCCTCGTTGGGTTGTCCCCCTGTGGGTTTAGCTGAAGCCCAAAAGGACTCTGAATTCTGGTTTGAGGCTTGTACCTAGAGTGCAAAGAGATGCTAAGGCATGGGTGTTGGTTCAGATGAACGTGTAGAAGGACAAGCAAGGTCTGGTAATGGGGCCTGGGGGAGGAGCGGGCGAAGTGCTAGGAAAGCAAGAGACCTGCAGTGGGAGTGAGGTTTATAATCTGCAGGCAGCATGGATCACAGTTCATGCGTCAGGAGGTGGGAATGCATTAGCATGTGTTCATGTTACGCCACCTGCTCAGGTTGGGTGGAAGCGGGGTGGCTGCTATTCATACAGCATCACTGCAAGATTTAGAAAAAGATGCCTTTTTTCAAGACACTTCCATGTTGGAAAATGGTGGCGATATTCTGGCTTTAACAGAAAGAAACAGCTTGGCTGCAGGAAAGTTGTTGCAATAAATGTGCAAATCTATGATATTTTGCCATAGTACTCTTGTGTAGTGCACAGCCTACACAGCTGTGCATGGTGGCCCCGGGGTGCCAGGGGCCCATTGCCATTAAGATGTAAAGTCCTGGAGCCGACACACTCACGTTTTCCTGAGCGTCACCCTCAAGCGTGGCTGTCGTCCTCGCTCGCCCTGGGTCTGACCCCACCCTGTCCACTGACCTGCTGTTACTTCAGGTTAGCCAGGTGCTGGCTCGCCTGCCCAGGACCCGTGTCTCCAGAGCAGCCGAGAAGGACGGCAGAGGAGCGGTGCACCTCCAGCCCCCGTGCAGGGGAGGATCCGCTAGTCCTGTTTCTCTCTCTCTCTCTCTCACAGAGAGTGGTTTTTCCTCCTGTCCCATGAGGTGCTCAACCCCATGTATTGCTTATTCGAATACGCCGGGAAGAACAATTACTGCCTGCAGATCAACCCCGCCTCCTCCATCAACCCTGACCACCTCACCTACTTCCGCTTCATCGGCAGGTTCATTGCCATGGTAAGGTTCATTGCCACGAGACCCCCAGGGAGGGGGGCAGCCGAGGAGCCAGACCCTACACACCACTAGCAGCCCCACTGTCATCCTCACAGAACTAACTAAACATGCAAAAAGCCAGAGAGAGTTCGGGACTAGTTCGGACTTCTCTCAGTGCCCACCCAGGGGCGTCGAGAGGGTTTCTCCATGGTGACCTGTGGAGGACTTGTCGAGCGAAAGCCAGGGCCCTGGGTCGTCACGGGCTTCACAAGTGCTCTTCTGAGGGTGTTGGGATGTCGGGCTGAGCACACCATAACTGCCCACCTGCCGCCCACCTCTGGGGGTGCCAGCACCTGCCACAAGCCCAGGGTGGGAGCATTTGGGACTGTCCTGCTGAGACACTGGCCTGTGTCAGGGGATATGGAATCTGCACTGGCTTAGAACAGACCCTAGTAGACTGGGTGGTGCCCGATGGAGGAGGCATCTGTCAGGAGCTGGCAGGGTAGGGAAGGGGGTGGCACGCTTTTTCTGTAATTACCTAGAAATAGGAACATAACGTGAGCAGGGAAGGGGGTCATGTCACGTGCATCCGGTTGAATGTCTCCTGAGGGTGGAGAAGCAGGACTGAGAGGGGAGCCCATGGGAGCCCCACTGCCATATTTGGTAGTTGCTGTTTCACTGCTAACTTTCCTTTTCTTCGCCCTGTTCCCCTCTCGGGAGGGCCCAAGAGCCAGTGACTAAATATGTCCCTTCCTCTGGTCTGGAAGTTCTTGGCCAAGGTGTTGGGCTCAGGAAGTGGGCACATTTTTCCCAGGTCCAGAGATCTGCTTGGCCCAGCAGCCGCCAGGCCAGTAAAACCCTAGACTATTACTCACCACTGGCCCGCCAGCTCTCGCCGTCAGCGGCGTCTGCATTATTTTTGGCTGCTGGTGCTGCCCAGCTCTGAGCGTCAGCGAGTCAGGGCTGCCACCAGGAGCTGTGCTGAGCGAGTCTTCTCTGTGAGCGTGGGCGCATCTTTGCTAGAGCCGGGAGCCGGCAGGCAGGTGTGCCGGGCAGGCAGCGGGCCCGAGGTGGGTTCCTGAGCAGGCGGCTCTGCTCCGTCCCTGTGGTCTGCAGGTCAGAGAAGAGTCTGTCCCCAGGTCCCCGTCAGGACACAGGACAGAGTGCTGCCTATTTCCCAGACCCTCCCTTGGGGCCTGGGGTAGCTGGATGCGTGGTGCTCTCCGGGCAGAGGGCAGCGGACGGTGCCCGGGCTCTGATACAGAGCACCCTGGAGCCTGCCTGCAGGAACGCAAACCTCAGCTGTGCGTCCTCCTTCCCCAGGCTCTGTACCATGGAAAGTTCATTGACACGGGCTTCACCCTCCCTTTCTACAAGCGGATGCTCAACAAGAGACCGACCCTGAAGGACCTGGAGTCCATCGACCCCGAATTCTACAACTCCATCATCTGGATCAAGTGAGCCCCTCGCTCGCCTCGTGTTGGGGGGAGAGGGATCTCTGGTTGGGAGTAGGTACCCACGGCCTTTATTTTCTCTGCCATAGTGGCCTCTGGGCCTCACCCAGGCTGTCTGGGTGTTGGTGGAGATGCTCAGCTTCTAGGTGCCCATGGGTCAGCTCCGGAATTCTCTCCTTGCACCAGGCAGAGGCCCGTGCTGCTGTCCCGGGTCCTGGGACACGTCCTCGGGGCACTAAAGTGAGTGGTAGAGCGGGATCGAGGGAAGACCCTTCTGAGAGAGATGTCTTCCCTCTTGTGCTCTCATGCCCCCAGAGAGAACAACCTAGAGGAGTGTGGCCTCGAGCTGTACTTCATCCAGGACATGGAGATTTTGGGCAAGGTGACCACCCACGAGCTGAAGGAAGGTGGCGAGAGCATCCGAGTGACGGAGGAGAACAAGGAAGAGTACATCATGTGAGTCTCAAGTGCTGGGAGACGGAGTGGGGGTGCGGGAGCAGAGACACAGCGGCCCGCGCATGGCCCATAGGTCTCCAGGGGTCACAGAAACTCCCATTTTGCATGGCCTTCAGATGGCGGCCCGTGAATGGTCACATGCTGACCAGAGCTGGGGGAGCCAGAGCCCAGAGCCCTGTGGCAGCTCCTTCTTGCTCTCTGGTTTCCCACATGGTAGACTTAGGGCTGCAGGGCTGACTTTCTTCGACGAGTCCTGAAACGAAGACACCTTTCTCTTCTTTCTCCCAACTGCAAGGACTTCTGGTCCTGTGTGCTCAAACCCACCATCTCACGTGCGTGTGTGCATGCGTTCACCTGTGCGTGTTCTTCAGGTCTCAGTCTAGTCTGTTAACATCCATACGTCTGAGGCTCAGGTGGCGGCAGGAGGAGGAGGTGCTGGTGGTGATTTAAAAGACTCACGTATCTCCGGGCTGCTGGGAGGGTTAAGAGTTTCTGCTCTGGGGCGGCAGCAGCCGGGGCTCACAGCCCAGAAGTGGGAAGTTGAGTCTCAGCAGATTCCTCTCGGGCTCCACCGACAGGCTGTCTTTGTTTTAGGCTGCTGACTGACTGGCGTTTCACCCGGGGCGTGGAGGAGCAGACCAAAGCCTTCCTAGACGGCTTCAACGAGGTGGCCCCCTTGGAGTGGCTGCGCTACTTTGATGAGAAAGAGCTGGAGGTGAGAACTACGGTTGTTGGGACCCTGAGCCCCTGCCTCTGGGGCGATCCTGCCCTTGGATAGCCTCACTGTGTACCCACAGAAATGCCCCGTAGAACCCATACTGCCCAGGACTGTAGCAACAAGCAAATAACTTTGATTTGGGTACTCACACCCACCCTTCCCTGGGCCCTGGTGTGAGGGGGTCCATGTGCACGATTTGTGCTGTCCATATGATTAAAACTGCCAGCAGAAGTAGATGGCAGTGCCTGGGGTGGTTCCACCTGCTGGCGGGAGGGCCGGCGCGGCTGACGCCCTTTCCCTCGCAGCTGATGCTGTGCGGCATGCAGGAGATAGACATGAACGACTGGCAGAAGAACACCATCTACCGGCACTACACCAAGAACAGCAAGCAGATCCAGTGGTTCTGGCAGGTGGGTCCTGCCTGGTCATCGCAGCCCCCAAGGGACACGAGACCCGACTAGACCTCAAGCCCAAGGACTCTGCTGTGTTATCACCTCCCCGACCTTTGGCACTCTCCTCATCTCCCCCAGCAACTTGCTAAAGGAGATGAGAAACCCAATCTCAGGACAGATGGAGCTGTTGCAGCTGGGTGGTGGCCAGTGCATTGGACAGGAGTGTCGGTGGTCAGCTGGGGTAGCTCTAAACGCCAGTGTGTGGTAGGGGAGCCCGCAGGCAGCGGAACGCTCCCATAGGTCACGTGGTTTCCTTCCAGCCACGTGGGGCGGGGAAGCATTCAGAGAAACTCCTGTATGTAAGGAGCTGTGTGTGGGTGGTGGTGTCACTCTGAAGTATAGCAAATACACAAAAAGAGAATAACTATATAGAAATGTTTGGGTTGAGGTGAAATTCGACATACCATAAAACTTACCATGTTAAGCATTTTAAAGTGTATAGTGCAGTGGCTTTTGTGCAACCATCATGATTAGCTAATTCCAGAACAGTTCATCCTCCTTCCCCCCACCCCTACCCCCCCCAAAAAAACACCAACCTGTACCCATTTTTAAGCAGTCACTCCCATTTTTTGTATATCTTAAAAAGTAGAACTTGGAGAAGAGAATACCTGGCCCAAGGTGTTCTGAGACAGCCATGCCCCGTGGACTGACGGGGATGTTCTATAAAGACAGCCTCTTAGAGGGAGCAGCTTAGGGGTTTCCCAGGTGGGTGGCTGTCACCCCCGGCCGTCCGGGCTTTGTGTGCTCGGCCTTAAAGAGGAGAGTTACGGAGTCGGGTGAGGAGCTGGGCCACGGGAGTCACCTGACTGCTTCGACTTTCGGAGTTGCAGGTGGTGAAGGAGATGGACAACGAGAAGAGTATCCGGCTGCTGCAGTTTGTTACAGGGACCTGCCGCCTGCCTGTCGGGGGATTTGCCGAACTCATTGGTGCGTCTCCCCTTGCCCTGCTGGCACCCCTGGGTGGGGGTGAGGATGGCTCAGGGAGGGTGGGACCTAGTGACTTCCTGGAAGCAAGTCCGTGGGAGGGGCAAGAGCTGTGGCCTCCGCCTTCCGGACTGAGGCATCTGTGGGCGGAGCCAGAGGGTCCTGTCTTAGGAAGGGACAGCCCTGTTATAGAAGATGTGTTTCTTTGGATAACAGGTAGCAACGGACCACAGAAGTTTTGCATCGACAAGGTTGGCAAGGAAACCTGGCTGCCCCGAAGCCACACCTGGTGAGCCTGCTGGTTCTACTGGGATGTGGCTGGAACCTCACAGACCCGATGCGCCCCTGAGGGCAGCCCAGTAGACAGGGCAACTTTGAGGCCTTGAGTCCAGCAACTTTTGCATGTCTGTGGCTGTCGGGTTGGAGGGAGGGGCTGTGATATGCCAGCCGCCTTTGTCTGGGCCTCTGACCTTTCAGGAGTTGTGGCAGCAGACATACCCCCTGGCAGTCATATTGGGTATTAGATATTGAAGCACTTGTATTCCCGCAGGCAAAGAGCTGCTGCCCCAAGTGCCCTCTTGCCTACTCCCCATTTCCCCAGCTGCCTGGCCTCTCTCCTAACCCCTCTGTGGTCCAAGAACCTGAAGCATTAAAACCCCAAGAGCAGGGTCCTGGACATCCCTGTTTCCGCATCTCGCCAGCTGGTGGGTGTGGTGGTCGAGCCACAGTCGCCTCAACGCTCTTGACCCTCCTCGGCCAGCAGCCCTGAGCTTCCTGTGCTGACCGTCTCCACCCCTCTCTCAACAGTTTCAACCGTCTGGATCTCCCACCATACAAGAGCTATGAACAACTGAAGGAGAAGCTGCTGTACGCCATTGAGGAGACGGAGGGCTTTGGACAGGAGTAACTGAGGCTGCCCCCTCCCCTGCGCCCTGCACACATGTAGTCACGAGTCCTCCCTGCCTGAGAGGCTGCCGGCCGTAGCCCCGGGAGGCCCCGCAGATGGTGGCCCTGCGCGGGACCACACTGTCATCGGGCTGGTGGCAGCAGAGCCTGACCTCAAGAGGCCCTGCCCACCCCTCCCTCCTTCCCGCTGGTGGCAGTCTGGAATAAAGCCCCTTAGTCACCTTAGCCCAACACCTGTTGCAGCCTGGAGGGCTGACCCTCTGCGAAGCTCACTGAGCCTCCTTCTCCCCTACGGCCAGCCCTAGGTGTGCGTGAGTGTGCAAGCGGGGGTGCCCGTGCCGAAGGGCTGCAGCACAAGCTGAGGGCCTCACGGGCTAGTTAGGCGAGAAGGAGACTGGCCCCTCGGGGTCACTGTCAGGGTCTTTGCCAGTAAAAGGGGTTCTGTTTGAAATAGAACTTTTCTAACGATGTGTATAAAACGAAGGTGTGCGAGTGAGGAGCTCTTCCCACAATTCCCCAGAGCTCTGGATGGAGGCTGCCTTGCTTCCTTCCCCGCAGGCTTAGCCGTGGAGGCGGAGCAGCAAGGCAGGCCCGTCTCCACTCAGGGCTGGCCAGTTCCCTCCTCCCAGCCAGCCGAGGCTTGTGCCAGCTGCTTGGATGTCGCTGGGATGGAAACAGCAAACTCGGACTTTCTTTCCCTTTCCCTGAACTTGAAGCATTTTGTGTGTAGGGTTGCTTCGTGTTTGTTGCTGGTGTGCTGCTGTCACTCTCTGCCAAGGAGCTGGTGCACCAAGTGTTGCTGGGACCTTGAGGGACCCAGCACCGTGGGTCCAAGGATTTCCCAGACAGCTGCTCCTCTTAGGAACCAGCTTAGCAGTTCTGCGAGCTCAGGCAGCTCGACCTCACAGCGGCCTCTCCCCGAGCCTTGACAGAGAGGGAAGGGGTGGTGCCCCGAGTGCCACCAACCTCGCCGCCTTTGATAGAGAAAAACGCCCTTTGCCAGATGTAGTCCCCCAGGCTGTGGGCCTCCAGGTGGGCCGCTTCGTCCCCTGTTGAGAATGAAGGGCATCCCCGCCAGCCGAGAGCCTCGAAGTGAGGCTTTGTCTGCACACAGGAGACGATGCTCTTGGAAGCGGCTGAAGGGCCTGAGCTGCTGCACACTTCTGACTTGATTTCTGGAGCCCCACTGGGCTCCGTCCTGGGCATTCTGGGTATTGATACCTTCAAGGACACGCTCCTCCGGGATGCTGGAGCCGTGATGGTCATGAACTTCCCGATCCAGGCCCTGGGTTCTAGCACCGAGCACCAGCTGCAGACTAGCTCTAGCTTCCTGGGACCCCAGGCAGGCCCCCAGACCGGTCAGGGCCTTCAGAGGATAGTTTCGTCTCCCCAGATCTGTGTCCCTTCCCCTGGCCCTGCAGGGACAGCCGTGTCTGCTGTGCTGGCTGCACTGGTCTGAATGGCTCCTGGAGTCACTTGCTGTGCTTCCCGCAGCGACTCGCCATGTCAGGGCGGGATGTGAGCTGCCGTGAGGAGTTTGGAAGCCTCAGGCTCCCGTGTATTCAGAGTGTGTTCATGTGCATGTGTGTGTACATACGTGTGTGTACATATAACATGTGTCTACAGAATATCGTGTGGTAGCTCTGGGTTGGCCATCTGATTGTTTTGTAATGCCCAGCGCCTTGCCTCGGAATTGCCAGTTTCTTGTGCAATAAACAGTCAGCAGCTGTGGGTGATGTTGGCGTGTTGTCTCTAAAATCATGGTCTCAGATGAGAGGCCTCTGGGCCCCACAGACCCTCCAGGTCCGGACGGGGCAGCAGTTCCATGACCTAGCTGGTTTTGAGAAACGTGTGTCCAAGACAGCCACACTCCTGGTGGGTGGCCGAGTCCTGGTCCAGGGGTCACTGGCTTCAGCCCTTGGTCAGTTGCTTCACTGCACCCTTTCGGCATCCTCGGCCTCCCCCTGACAGGCCTGGGTTTCTCTGAGCAGCTGTAGTGGGGCCAGCACACCCACCAGGTGAGGCTGCAGGTTGGACAGGCTTTGGAAACCTGGGGATAGCGTTCTGGGCAGTTACTTATTCCAGAAACATTTCTTGGTGTTTCTTCAGTTTCGTGATGATAGCGGGAGTCCCTGATCTTCACTTCCTGGTCATACAAAAGCTTGCCACCTACTTTTTTGGGTACTTAAGAGTTCAGATGGGACCGATTCCAGGCTGATGGGTCTCTGCATTCAACACAGAGATGACTGTCATGGGTGGAGCCTGGCCCTGATGGTGCTGCTTCTCAAGGGAGGCAGAGATGGTCGGACGGGCTCCTTCCTGGAGTCATCAGCTGAATTCACTGCCCTCCCGCCCATCTCCGACAGGGCAGTGCTAGACTTTGAGAAAAATAGACAAAAGCCCACATATTATACAGACGAAATTGTTCTCCTCACTCTTATCCCCAGAGGTAACTGCTGTTCTGTTTGCGGTGGTCCTTCCAGACTATTTTATGTGCATATGCAAATCATAGATATATATCGTTGTCAAATAGACTGAAATTGAGCTCTTATATGTTGAGCAACTCGCTCGCCTCATGCAATGAGCTGTCAGGGACACCTTTTCACGCCCGTCCACATATCTCTAAGTGATTCTTCGCTGCATGATATTCCGCATTACAGTGTTTCTGTAAAACCCCGTCTGTCCCAGCAGGCATTGCGGTTGTGAGTGCCCAAGCCTCTGTGAGTGCCCTTGGGCAGGTCTTGTGCACTGAGGCTGCTCTTCCTGGAGGGGGCAGTGGTCCTGGAAGTTGGACTATTCATGATATGCCTTCATTTTTACTTAAAAACTTATTAAAGTTTTAAAATGTAAAGATAGGAAAGGTCTACGGTGAAAGAAAGCCCCCCCCCCCCCCCCCCCCCCACACACACACACTTTTATTCTGTTGTTACTCAGACACTCAGATCACCTTCTAGAGGCAACCATTGCTGCTGGTTTCTTCTGGGCCCTTCCAGACATGCTTGTAAAATCCCAGCAGATTCTACCCAGTTGTCCTTCAAAAAGGTCGTGTTTTGCCCTAGCCGGTTTGGCTCAGTGGATGGAGCGTCGGCCTGCGGACTGAAAGGTCCCAGGTTCGATTCCCGTCAAGGGCATGTACCTTGGTTTCGGGCACATCCCCAGTGGGGGGTGTGCAGGAAGCAGCTGATCGATTTTCCCTCATCAACGTTTCTAACTCTCTATTCCTCTCCCTTCCTCTCTGTAAAAAATCAATAATAAAAAAAAGGTCTGTTTTGCCAACCTCAGCAATGGCCGGACCCCTGCCACCCCACTGGGTGAACGGAATCCCCATCTGTCCTCCCAGTTCTCCGCTCCCTTTTCCATCTTCTAACTCTGGGCATCTGTCCTTTCACACGATCAGTGTTTTGGTTTTTTGTTTGTTTGTTTTTAACATTTACTGTGGAACCATAATGAAATCTGCATTTTTTGAAGGCTTATTGGAAAAGCAACAAGAACAATTATAGTACTGTGATCATATAAACACTGTCTACTCCAGAACTGATTAGTATCAAGTCGGACAACTATTTCTTTCTCATAAGCTTTCAACCCAGAGGTTCAAATGACCTTTTGCTTTTATTATGTCCTCAATTTTTTTCTGACTCTGAAGTATTTCAAGTGAAACTAGTTGGCAGGGAGTTCCCCTACCCCTATACACTGGAGTAAGTTCCTGATATAATTAGCCAAAAATGAAGAGCAGTTATGTCTCCCTTTGCCACCCAAGGTCCCTAATGGGTCTCCCAGGTGCCAGTGAAACTTTACATAAGGTGAGGTCTCCCTGGGTCTGGAAAGCTCAGTTCTAGCTTCCCCACTGCCCTTCAATATTAGGGCCCTTCACTCTTCTAGAAAAACTCACCCCATTGCTCCGTGGGCTTCCATTTCGCAGTGGTTCTCAACCTTCTGGCCCTTTAAATACAGTTCCTCATGTTGTGACCCAACCATAAAATTATTTTCGTTGCTACTTCATAACTGTAATGTTGCTACTGTTATGAATCGTAATGTAAATATCTGATATGCAGGATGGTCTTAGGCGACCCCTGTGAAAGGGTCGTTTGACCGCCAAAGGGGTCACGACCCACAGGTTGAGAACTGCTGATTTAGAGGAATGCTTACAAATAAGCTCTCCTGGTTCCTGAGCCAAACTCAGCATCAACAAGGCCCCAACCTCATCTTGGGGAAGAAAATTGAGCCAGCACCCAAAGTTATTTCCTTATTTCCTCATTTCCCTACGGTCTACCTCTTTTTATTTCAATTATTGTTTTTTCAGTCTACCTCTTGAATCCCATTTCCCCCAGCCGAGCTCACTTCCTGTAGTCCATGCAGCACGAATCGGGCACCACTCAACTGACTCAGGTCGGAGCATGCAGCTTTTTATTGTCTATTTTCTATTATTTGTAGCCTTTGAACATCAACACGGATTTAGGGCCTAACTCCAAATCAGCTGGTCCCAGCGGCATTCATCTTTGTTTTCTTTTTGATGCTTGTTACAATTTTGACCCCTTCCATTCTATTCTGTTTGTTACCCCCAGATGTATTTGATGGTCTATAGGATATCCTAATCCCAACTGAAGTTCCAGTGCCCCAATCACAGCATCAACTCCTTCCCTAGGAGCCCTATCTCTTTTTGGGATAAAATAGTATTAGAAACCAAGATCGGTTCCATCAAGACGGCACCGTGATTTCATGATTCGATGAACCTCTCAGCTCCAAACACACAATAAAGACACACAAAATATAAAAAGGAAAGCAAAAAGGCTGGTTTTAAATCAGGATAAATAATTCCATGGATCAGAAACAGAACAAAATGCAAAACATTGAGCAAGACTGAAGCTGAGGCTGGGAGGTCAGCTGCTGTGGGGTCAGCCTTTCCATGTCCCTGCATAGACGGGAACGGGCACCAGCCCACGGCTCCCTCCCGTCTCCTGGAAGCAGGCAAACCAGCAAACAAAACCAAATTGTTGCTGTTGCGCACCTGGCTGTCGCTTTGAGAAGCATGGAGACTTGAGGCAGAAACTCAAGCTAACCCGCCCCAGAGGTTCTGGCCTGGATCTGTGCTAGTCCTAGGTCACCCCAGGCCAGACTCCCACCTGCCACTCACCGGTCAGGCTCTAGAATGGATGCCCATCAGGACAGGAGGAGGCAGCTGCAAAACATTAGGCAGACAGAGGAGAGAAAGAACAATTCCTCCCTCAAAATGTTTGTCTCTCCATATTTCAGAGAAAGATACCCATGGATCTCTTGCCTGCTGGTGTTTGCCGTAAGGGGGTTAGGTGGCAAATGGCCTTTTCACGGGGGCTCTCAATGTCACTTTTCAGGGGTCTTTTCTCTGGAGTGAACAGTTTTTCCAGAGGTGGATCCTCTGCTCCCGCCCGAGGGGAAGGCTCTACCTGAGACAGGTACACCTGCCTGTAGGCCTCCTGGGAATAAGCAGCAGGAGGGGGCCGAGGTGCTCGGATCCCCAGCCACTGACCTGGCCTTTTCTCTCTGCTTTCAGCCCTTACCTTCTGCTCTGACTTGGGTCCCCACGCCTAGAGCTCCCTTGACCTCTGTGCCCTGAAGCTGGGAGAGGGGAGGTGGCCAGGCTATGAGGGGCTTGGGAGGGACCTGGGTGTCCAACCCTTCTGTATGGACACTTCACGACCCAGTTTTCAGGTCTCCTCCTGCCCGAGTCTCTCTGGGGACTTGCTCATTTCTGTTTGGTCAGTTACACTCCTCCACCTTCTTCCCACCTTTGGAAACTTTGTTGTGTCCTGGTTGATCACTGAGTCCTGGAGATGGTTAATCTGCCATCTCTTAACTCCTTCTGCTTTGACAGGTCTGCATGGGGGCAGAGGAGGGGCAGCTTGTAGCGGGCAGTCTGCGCACAGAGGTTCCAAAGGGGGCTTGACTTCATTCCATCACATTGATTTTCAGCTAGTCTGCTAGCTGTAAACCCCATGTGTTGACCCCATGACACTAACTCTGGCCCCTCGTAAGCCTGAGCCTGTCCCAGGTCCTGCAGGCCTCACCAGAACCCTCCTTGATGACGCTCCTTCCAGTGAATTCTTGGCCGTGGCTCCTGCTGCTGGCCATTTCTCCCCACCCTCCTCTTTCCAGAATGTGTTGAAGTCCCTCGTCCACCCCTCAGATACTACCTCTCAAATGAGCCAAATGGCCTGGGCAAACTGGGAATTTTTTTTACATTCAGGGACTATCATTTTAATGGGGGTCTTGGGAAGGAGAAAAGATAAATTCTACATGTAAGAATTGAATTTCTGCCAATCTGCCATGATTAAGCCCCTTGCTCCTCACCCCTCTAAGAGTGACTGGGCTCCTCACTCAAGGTTTGCTTCGCTTTGTTTTGCTATCTCCAAAGCCAATGGTGTCAGTAGATAGTCCTGTTTATAAATAAGAGGGATGTTTTACTTCTGCGTTTTCTACTAACATTGTTTTTATTCTAAGAAATTAATTAGGCACTGAGATTAAAAAAGAAAACACTGCAGCCTCTTACGGTGAATTACCCTGGTGAATTCTTGTTCCTATCTGTGAGAGGCAGACTTCTCGTGCCCGCCTCCCCCTGCCCCCTTCATGGTAGTCACACCCTCCTGGTGTAATCCCCTCTCCTTGAGTGGGGCTGGGCTAGCGATTTGCTTCCAACCAATGGAATGTGGCAAAGGTGATGGGCTGTCACTTCTGTAATTAAATTACAAAGCATTGCG